TCCAGGATGCCGCCACAGCCAAACAGGAACAGTCGAGGCAAAGCCACTCTGAGCAAAAGCAGAGAGAGCAGAACGCTAGAGACTAGAGAAGGAGGATAATCGCTGATGCAGCTTTAAGGAAAGCCATGCATAAATGGATGGATGGAAATGAAGTTGTGTCCATACTAGGGATGCAGGATATACGGATGTTGGCATCGGTTTCGGCTGTTATTCGTCATATTTTAAACATTAATGTTTTTGAGCCCTTTTTATAATAAGGCACTTAAGTCAGGCATCTGTCTAGAACTATAAATACCACAAATATATTGTTGTATTCTTGTGTTCTCAACAATAGGAAAGCATTCAATAAATATATGTTTGAGCTCATTTTTGGAAAATACAAACCCTATTAAAAGCGTTTGGGTTAAGTAGATGTAGGTCCATCAGCCTCCAACCTTAGAGCGTCCCCACCAACTTTCATCACTAAGTTACACCATTGGATCCAGAATATAATTTAAAATACCCTTTTTCACATTAAAGCCCTAAAAAAAAGTTCAAGGGGCTGAATGCTTTTTCAAGGCACTGTATCAAAGAGTCAAATAAGCTGACTCAGAATAACGGCTCTCTTTTTAGAAGAGAGTTTTATTACTTTCTGAAACAGGTCCCTTGTGACTTACACAGTCAAAAGCTGGCAGGTTTAAAGGAAAATTCCGGTTTTTAACACTTTTAGCCCATTTTCTGTAGTGTCCAGGATGAAATCGAATGATCGACACCAAAATTTTGACAATTGGTCCNGTGCAGATTTTCTTTACAGTAGGATTTTTTGGGGTTTCATGCAGGTTGGTGGACCTTTGTTGGGGCTGGTGGGCGTGCGGCGGGCCAGCGGCTCGGTCAGGTTCGACAGTGACGGCAGTGGCCGGCCAGTGACCTGGGACTCATTTGGTATTTGGGACAACCGTGTAGAAGAACCAATATTACTGCCTTCAAGTATCCGTTATGGAAAACCCATTCCACAGGTATACAAACCATTAAATAACTTGCTTAAATAGATGGTTCAAGTTCAAAATTGGCTTAGAGTTGATTGAATAATATGTAAACAGACAGATGAACAAAACAAATACCAACTTCTAAGAGCAATGTTGTTGTATCCAAGTAGATGGAGGGTAATATTTGTCTTCCTCTCAGATCAGTCTGTCTCGGGTTGGCAGCGCGTCTGTTTTGGGTCTCCGGAAAGAGAATGAGGACAGACTGCGTATTGCCCGTATTGATGACAGCCTGCTGTACTTCGCCGTATTCGATGGCCATGGCGGCCCACACGCTGCCGACTACTGCTGCACCTTCATGGAGAAGTTCATCAGGTTGAATTCAATTTCCTCAATAAGTTACCAAATACAACATTTTGACCACTGAGTTTTATAAATTCCTGGATGTTTTTCTACAGAGACGCTTTGGAGGAAGAACAAGATCTTGAGAAAGTTTTACAGAAAGCCTTTATAGATGCTGATAAAACTTTACACACACACCTAAGCTTCTTCAACAATGGTAAACCACTTTACTAAACCATTTACTGAATGATCTAAATTGTTTAAAAAATTATTTTACATTACGTGCACATTCAAAATGTGTTTTTTAAACTTGATTATAGTTTGAAAATCGAATTACTAAACAACAGTGGCTTAAATTTCTTCTTTTTCTTTTCTTTATTTTTCAGAATCATTTCTGAAATCAGGCACAACAGCAACAGTCGCTTTGCTGCATGATGGGATAGAGCTGGTGGTCGGCAGCGTCGGTGATAGCCGGGCGATGCTGTGCAGGAAGGGACATGCCAAAAAGCTCACCAAAGACCACACACCAGACCGCAAAGACGAGAGAAAACGGTATTGAGTCATTTCTTTTACTACTATACAACCTAAATAAATAAATCTTTGATAGTAATAGTAATGTGCAGGGTTCAAAGCTAACTCTTTGAGCCACTGGCCAAGTGGACCAAAAGATAAAATGATTTACCAACACAGCATATCTTAAGCGTCCGGAAAAAATTTTTTTCTCATATATTTTTAAGCAACATAGTTAAATAGTTACAAACAAACTTAAGGTAAAAGGTAATGTAGTTCATTGAATGAGGCTGTAATTTAAAATTTCATTAAATTTAATTCAAAATAGTGCAAATACTAAGACACCTGTGTTTAATACAGTTGACATAAATAAAAA